GGTAGCTTAGCAATTACATTTCGAACAGCTTTCATTTGTTGTGGGAAAATGTTGTTGAAAAATACATTTCTGCCGATCAACTGCTTAAAAAGTTTTTCCAAAAAATGATTATTTGTGCTGTTTAGATCAACCACTGCCAGAGCATAGTGCTGGACAAAGTTGTGATCAGGGCCCGATCTGTGGCGAAACTCAACCGGAAGAACAATCAGGCATAGCTGAAGAAAACAGTGGCCCAATTGGTTTAACCGTTGCTAGTAGCCAAAGTATTGATCAAGAAACAGTCCAGCAGCCCCGTTCAGCAGAGCGATCGCCAGAGCCAGTTCGATAGTTCAGCAGTTAGACGGGACTGGAACAAGCCAGGAATATGCTTTCTTATATAATTTTATACTCTTTCCGTACGCGTAACAGTCTGAAAAAAAAGGTCCTACTTCTCTTATCTGCACTACTGGGATAAAAGTAGCAAATTTTTTTTTTTAATTTAAAATTTATAAATTAAAAAAATTTTTTTTGTACAATTTTTGGTTTTTTGCAAAGGGAATGAAAAAATTTACGGCTCTTGGGAATTTTTTTTTTCAAGTCTGTCATTGATTTGTGAGGATCAGTTAACTCGGTTGCTCTTTTCAGTACTCAGATCGCGTCTTTCTCCTCTTCCTCTTCCTCGTCGTGCAGGTGCATAGCCAAGGTAATATGCCTGAAATACCGGCTACATACTCTGTTTTTGCGTATTTATAACTGGCGGCTTTTTTTAAGTTAACTGAGTAGTAGTAGTTGATGTAGTTTCAATTTTCCAATCCACTGAATTTTCTCAATTTTCCAATTTTCTCAATTTTTTCTCAATCTCAATGAATTTTTCTCAATGAATTTTCTCAATCAATCCACTCAATTTTCCAATTTTCCAATCCAAATTTTCAATCCACTGGAATTTAAAAATATTTTTAATCTCGATTCCAACACTGTGCTTATCCGCATTTCTGTCTTTGGTTATTCCCACTGCGGTGAAAACTGCGGGTGATTTCTATGATCCAACGGGCATCCTATGTAGATTTCACTCAGGCATTGGCGAATTTTGTCGTAGTTATTGATAGCTCTTGTTTGCATCCTCTTCACTGTGAAATTGTTATTTGTTGTTTGGCAGATGATCACTGCTTGGTTTTCCAGATCATTGTTACCAGATTTTCTCCCTTTTGAACCGGATTGTTGTAGTAATGGTCTGTAGTGGTGGACTTTTGGCAACTGCTTTAGTAAGATTCCTCTCCTGGAACTCTTTTGATGTCGAAAAAATGCGAAAAGCACACTCTCTTTATGTGGGTTTTTTTTCCTTCAAGTTATTTTTGAGGCCAATTCAAAAATCCCTTTTCCCCTTCCCCTTAATCTGTACATATATAGAAGGGGAATCTGTTAGGCTTATGTGAGGGACAGACCGAAGATCCCTCCTCCCGATCCTTTCCTTAATCTCTACGTGTATAGAAGGAGATCTATTAGGCATGCATGATCTCAAGGGCGCAACGATCTCATACTGCATACCCTATCTTCTCACTACTTATAATTCTAGCAAAAGTGCCTTTTTTTATATCCATTGCTTTGTTACGTTATGAAATTTTGGCCATAAATTATTGCTTCGTTGATTTTTTTTTTCAATGCTCTTTTAGCTATTTTGCACACAATTATATGCGTTTGACCTTGTTTTTTTGATTTTTGGCACGTTTGTATATTTTGCGTACATATATTTGCATATTTTTGTTCACGTGCCAATTTGCTTGTTTGTATTTCTATGCGATAATCACGAGTTTTTCATTCGCATGAATTCTGCATGTTGTATAAACAATTTGTGTTTGAAAATGTTGCTGTTTTTGGTCCACGAAAGAAGTCAAATCTTTCGAAATATTTTGCGTAATAAGGTTAGGAAGCAATCGTTGAAAGTATCTTCTGAGTCTAGCTATTCATGAGTAGTATGAATTAAACTTTAGGCTCTTAATTTTTTAAAGTTTTTTTTTAATGTTTCTTAAATTAAAGTTTAGTTTAGGTTCTTAAAAAAATTAAAGGTCCTTAGGCTCTTAGGTTCTTAAAGTTTAGGTTTCTAAAACAAAAGCTAGCTGTTTAGGTTCTTGAAATAATTTGAATATCTTGTATTTTCAGGGTACGCTTTGGACGATTTCGGTTTTCGCAACGTGCAGCTAACGCATCATCGCAAAAGCTGAGGTTGGTTTTTTTTCCTTTTTTTAGATTTATTTTCAGGGTAAAATATTTGTAAATTTGTAAAGCTAGAATTTGGAGGGGAAAGAGGGAGGGGGAGGGAAAAGGGAGGTAGGGCAGAAGAAGGGGAAGGGAGAGGGGGAAAGCGGTGCGGGAGGTAAAATCAAGGCAGGAAGTAATCAAATCTTGGTTCACTAGTCAAGCGTTCTTTCCTGGGGCATTTCTTTGCCGCTCTTCTTTTCCAAGGGTGTTTTTAGGTGGGGACGGAACAGGAATGGTAGGAAAAGGCATTGAGGAAGAAAAAGAGAGGGAAGGAGTTGAACTTGGGGAGGAATTTTTTGATATTAGTCTAGGACACGAAAAGATAGCAGTTGACTGAGGGAAGTCCATACTCGCCAAGGTCCTGAGATGCTTAGATGTGGTCTTTCCTATGAAATTTTGGCGATTCCTGAGTTCCTCGTTGCTCGAAAACTCGAAAAGAAAGAGATGGGATCCTTGGTACATGAAAGGCCTAACTAATTCAAGCGGATTTGATCTCCTTCTTTTCGAATTTATTCAGGCTTGAGGAGCACATTAGGATGTAATGCTTTGGTCCTGTCAAAGTTCGGAGAAGAGAGGAGAGGAGGAAGGGGGGGGGGGATAAGGGTCTGCGTGGTTCTCACGTAGGAGCACGTGAAAGTTGTTTTGGCGGGAAGGCGTTTTCGGGAACGGCCCATGCTAGGAGGCCGGAACTTCACAGAGTTGTTCCTTGGGGGGGAGACAGGGGGAAATGCCAGTAACATTACTAACATGAGACCCTCCGCATCACTTGTTCGATCATAACATTCTCGTTAAATATGCAAGATGTAAACAGTAAGTTGAAATTTTGAAATGTTTTTTCTTTAAGCAGAAAAATTGATTTGTTTTCACGTTGTTCGTTCACTGATTGCTCTTATTTGTCTTATAGATATTGCTGTGAGAGATCAGTCAGTTACCAGTGATCATAGATTATTTTGCCTGAGAGCTGAGTCAATACGTCAACGAGCCCACTACGTGATTTTTACGTGATCAAAGAGACAATACTATATACAACTACTACTACTACTTCTACTATTACTACTACTCTACTTCTACTACTACTACAATCTTAGAAAGAAACGATGGTGCAAACTGACGATGGTGTAAGACTTTACAATACATTAGTTTATTTATTGGGAGAATTAGAGAAATGAAGAAGAGCATAAAAAAGGTAAGATGCAATTTCGAGGTGAGACCCACAGTCCCCGCGTGTGCCGTTTTTATGCTTTTTTTTTTTTTGCGGTAAATCATCCTTCGTCGTCATCGTCATCTCTACGTATTGGGCCTTAATGCGTCATTTCAGCACTACAGGTGAGTGATGATGAGGGAATTTGAAAGAGGGGTACATCGCAAGCTCTAACAGCTATCGGTAGGGAAAATGAAGCGCCAATGGATTGGCAGTTAAAGGGGAGAAGAATGAACTCTTTACCGATATCTCGCGTTTTCTGAAGAAAACAGGAGCAAGATGAATTTACTCTGCGCCGGATGCGTGGGCCAAAAAAAAAACTGAAGTTTGGTTTGGCCGATGCATCGCGGTTCTTCTGGAACACCTCTGAGACATCTACATTCGCTGCAGTGTCCTGCCTTCGCACAATCTGAAGATTTCCACTGCATATCGTTATAATGAAAAAGAAAAGAATTGTGGTAAAGAAGAAGATGGATATTGTTTGAGATGAAGTTGGAATCACATGGTTTTTCTTGGCGTTTTTCTTGAGATGACGCCGAAAAAATAATTACATGGAAAACGATGGCTTTTCTGGATTTTATTTGGCGCCTCTCGAGATATATTCACAAGATGTCTCGAGATATATTCACGATATGTATACTGTAAAGTGACTTCATGCCCACGGCAATTTTGTTAGCTTGGATAAGTTGACAGTTACGTCTATCCTGCGATGAAAGTGACTGCATGCCGTAGTTCTCAGCTCGAGTTTGACACTCACTTGACACATTTTTCTTTTTCTCCCAAATTTCTTACGAGTGTCGAGCTAGAAAAATCGTGATAAATAATATCACCATGTTAAAAACACTGACATACGAATGTGAAACGCAATCAGAGAGCATTTGCTGAGGCCAACAGAATGATGGAGCGAAGAATGCTTGGAGTATCTCTCGTCATAACTGTACAAACTGTGGGACATTCTC